GCCGGGCCCGGGGGAGGCCGCCGGGCCTGCGGCCGCGCTGTCCCCGAGGGCAGCGGCCCGCGCTCATCAGTACTGCACACCCGCTACCTGAAAACGAGTGATGACCCTGTGTGTTGTGGCGCTGTGCTAGCTCTTGCCGTTCGCTAAGATCAGAAATACACACGGTATTTTTTTCCTAACTCAGTATAATGATTAAATTACCATTACTGTCCCAGAGGCTTCATCAGTGTAGTTTAATCATCCACCACTGTACTTTCCTTAGGAAGGCTCATTCAATGCCTGCTTTTACTGTTTGCCTGTACTAGGTACATCAACTTAACCTCTGTATGCACAAATTTCAAAATGAATTAGCATGTATTCTACATTTTAATACTGCTTTTTCTCCATGACAAATAAAAAAATTAATTTCTATTAAACTAATAGTAGCTGCCATTCAGAAAGCTAGATCGCACAACTCCTCCGTGTTCATCAGAAAGCCCGAGTACACCAGACATCTGGCAGTTAAGAAACTCAACTTAATGTCTGTATTTTAGGCCGGCAAAGGGATGTGATATCTTAACACCATAAAAATGATAATTGGAGACATCTGTCTCGCTGTGCAGGTACAACGGCAGACATCCTTCTGCCAGGGACAACTGTATTGCAAGGAAAATTTGCAGCTACCTGCCAGTTAGCTCACTGTAATCAGTCAGACTGCTCTAAGGTCATTTAAGGAAGCACCCACCTGTCATATCGGTCTTTTTGCTACCAAATAGAGATGGGAAACATCTGCTTCCAAGCAGGTTAGTTAGTGTTAAGAGAAAGTGAATAATAATGCATTTAATTACTGTTGTAGAAATTGCAATGTTTAAATGGGACGATATTTTAAAGTGGCTACAGGATGAAAAGTGGGAAGAACGGGTGATTGAGAGGAGTTGCCATGGGATGTGACTGTGCTGTTGACAGTATTTTTCTGTCATTAAATCCTTCTTTCCAGCTGTCTTCAGGGCACAGTTGCACGTGCTCATGAGTATCATGGACATACAAGGATACATGCCTTATTCTATGAGCTAAGTGATACGTTGAATTCATTGGTCTTTATTAAACTTCAGTCCTGTGGCCGACGTATTCCCATACCGGCATGGTGTCTCAGTTCCGCTATATAACTTCATACTTTCATTATTTAAAAAGTTAGACAAAAACACTCGGCAAGACTCCAAAGTAAAACCCGATTAGATTTTTTTTCTGTTTTTCTTTTTTTCAAAATTAGCTGCCCAAAGACAGGCAGTTATTCCATATCAAGAACACTGCCAGCACATCTCACAGTGGAACTGTCAGCTAGAATGTGGAATCTGCAATGGTAACAGCTGCTATTACAGAAAGGAGATAAAAAGGAGAAGCAAGGAAATGAGAGCTTGAACTAGTCACCATTTTTAACTAAATACAAAGTAAGATATATTTCAGAGTAGGGTGTTAAATACCATTGTGCTGAGATACTCCTTCACTGTTCATTCAATAGCAGCATCACAGACAAGTTGTAATGCGATCAGTATGGTAAAATATGTTTAGAAGGCTGGCTAGCAGGCAAAACAGCAGCACAGATTTCCCCTTCTTCATTGTGGAGAAGATAGCATTAATTGTATTAGAAACTACTTGCAGTACCAAATCTGTAAATTGTATTTCACTTGTATGCAATTCTTTTAAAGTTTCTTTTTAATAAATTTTAAATGTTAAAATAATGTCTTAAGAATACTATAGCAGTGCAGAGAAGTATAATTTTTTCAACATTTTCTTTGATGTTTTGACAGTATTTTACATATAATAAAATTCACCATTTTCCTTTCAAGTTCAATTATTTTACTATTCCCATGAGCAATACGTAGAGTGGATTTTTAAAAATAAGCCTAAGGATCTTATGGGAGCTGCTGAATCCAGTGGTCTCTGGGACCTGGGGATTGCTGCTCCTGGCTGCTGAAGCCCATCCATGTACGCTCTGGACCTGGGAGGGGTCTTAGGCTCGCATGTATCCTGGACGAGCTTATGCATGCGTACACACACACACGCAGAGGGCATATATAATGTAAGTACAGAGAGTGAAGTGGACCGCTCACATGTGAGCCCCCCTCCTCCCCATTTTCCTACATGTCCCCCTAGATCCACCCTGATCCTTCCTTTCCCTGCCTTTGGCCAATTTGGTGAACATCCCATAGTAAGTTTTGCACAATCCCACGAGCCCCTGCTGATATCCCATAAAAAGTTTTGCACAGTCCCATGCACCCCCCCAAATATGTTGTAAAACTCATGATACTCATGTTTCCCCCATCTTACCCGTGACAAAGCTCAGGTTGATTGTCTTCAGGGTGGCTTCCTCGGTAGCTCCTTTAATGGCCCGAAGAGTTCTGCTCTTCACTGTTGTCTTTGTTGCCACCTGCTCATTCGGCAATTTTTGTGTGCCTGTGTCTGTTTAATACATCACTTTCCTTCTTATTTCTTTTATACTGAATAATCCTTAATCAGATGAACCAAATTATCTCACATTTCACATACCCTTAGAGAAACTGTCTGTGTCTGTAGCACAGAGCCACAGCAAAGCTTGTCATAAAGCTCAGAGGAAGATATCTTTTTTGAAATTAGTTTCTGTTATATTTTTAATTGAGAAGCTTCATCGGTTATCTGGCTGCGCCACTGAAAGACTTCGAGGGGGAGTTTTTTAAGTGACCATTTTATCAAAGAACTAACAAACCACTTGCAGTATCTGCCTACCAGCAGTATCACTGTGGTAGTGAACCTGAGGAGGAGGTGGAAGGTGTTGAAGCGCTACCTTTGTTAACATGACTTGTTTTTCCAAAGACAGGAAACAGAATTTGAAATGAGGAACTTCTTTTTCTGAAACACAAGTTCCTGATCGCTGCCAGACAGGATACTGGTCTAGGGTACAGTTCTGATCTAACAAAACAGTTCCTGTGACTTTATCAATAATATGAATACCTTGTGGGTAAATATACAGTATTTATGAAAATAAGGTGTCACACTGAAGGAGGCCTTCTATATATCCAAAGTAAGTTCATACTGAACTTACCAAATCTGAGCAATGACAGGCATCATAGGCAACCCGGCTTCACCCATTGCTCTGCACACAAAACTTGCTCCAGCAGAGTATTAGCTCTTTGCAGAGAAGACCATCTCTTGGCATATGAGTTCAGCTCCGGTTTTGAGATGCTAGGTAATGCAGTAGTAGAATTAAAGAACATAAAATTGCAGTGACATGTGGATTACTTGAAGTGAAAGCTGTTCTTTATCAGAAGAGCTTTGATGTAGACCTAGTAACAAAGATTTCCCTTAATAGGTGGCACTTGGCAAATGCTTGTAGCTTGGCGAGAAAAAGATCTCAGCTCCTGAGATCCCAAACTCGTCCTGTGTCAGACCTTTTTAATTTGAATGTATTGCTTTTGGGCAAATGTTGTGCTCTGTGGTTATCTCCAGTAAGTCTTACCACCAGACATGCTTAAATACGAAAAATTAACTGATTTACAAAAAAGGAAAGGGTAGGGTTTTCAATTAGAACATTTGGAAATAAAACTGTAATAAATAAACACAGGACAGTAAAACATTGTTGGAGTGTGTCTGAAAATATTTTCCTAGGTGTATTTTTGAATTTTTCTGAGGTATGTATAGGCCACAGAATAAGATTCAGCAGCATTTAATACGCTAAATTATATTTGTCAGAATGTTTATTATTCATGGCTGGCTCCTCCTTTCATTGCCTCGGGGCTGGTTTTGAGCTTTTGAATTTTAGCCTTCATCATGTACATTCATCTTTTACAGTACCCATTTTTCTATTACCTCATGGGAATGCAGCATCTGGATTTATAATAAACATGGCTGTGACAAGCCCTGGTTTTTCTTTATGGATTGGTACGAACTCAGCAGATGAGGATTTTGTATATGGTAAAGCTTTCTGCACCTCTCTGGCTCTACTGTTACCATAACCCTTAGTTAGAAAATTACTTCTGGCTTAAATACCGTAACTGCCCATCACAGTATGTCCCACATTAACTATCTTGTAAGTTGTGTATCATAAGAGGTACACATTTAAAGTAGAGGTCAGGATATTTAGTTTCACTACATACTAGTGACTTCCGTAGGTAAGCAAAAGAGTATCTATACCGCAGATATCTATACAGGCTTTTAAGTGACTGCTTATAGTAGCAAAATACTTCGAGAATGTTCTGGAGGACAAAGGTTTTGCAGGCAACTTTAGCTTTCTTCCTCGAGCAGGAAGAAATTATAGAGCTGCAACTCATCAGTGGGATTCTTGACAGCTTGCCAAATTATACCAGCTTTTTTCTCTTTTTTTGACCTTGAACCAAATT